GGATGGCCAGGAGCTTACTACACTTTTCGGTCCGGGCTTCACAGGATTGACTAACCTGGGAAACAGCTGTTATCTTTCGAGCATTGTCCAATGTGTTTTTTCTCTACCGGAGTTTCAACAAAGATATTACCATCCAAGCGAAGAGCCCCCGTTCTCCCAGAACCCGGCAGAAGATCTCGAGACTCAATTGCGGAAGCTTGCAGATGGTATTCTCTCCGGCCGGTACTCGAAGCCGGACAGGAATGTCATCGCTTCCCCAGATTCCCCGGAAGTCCCGCATCAAAAGGGATTGGCGCCAGCAATGTTCAAACATTTAATTGGTCGCGGGCATGAGGAGTTCTCTACGATGCGACAACAAGATGCCTTTGAGTTCTTACTTCACCTATTCAAGGTAATCAGCTTGTCCTCGCACCCTGTGGATTTGGGCAATCCAATCGAATCTTTCCGTTTCGCAACGGAACAACGCCTTCAATGTACCTCTTGCAATAAGGTGCGCTATAAAGTTGACGAGCAAGACAACATTTCTATCCCGGTACCTGCGCGTCGAGTATCTCATCGTGGTAACCCCGCCTCATCTTCTGAAAAAAATCACTCTGATCAGTTTGAACCGGTAACCTTGTTAGACTGCCTGAATTCATCCACGGCAGAAGAACTTGTTGAATTTAGCTGTCCGGCTTGCGGTAGTAAAGATGGCTTCTCAAAAAGATCATTGTTTCGAACGCTACCACAACAACTTGTCATTAACGCGCGGCGTTTTGAGTTGATTAATTGGGTCCCTACTAAACTGGACATACCGGTTGAAGTCGGCGATGATTCTGTGGATCTGAGCCGTTATCTCTCTGGACCCCAGGGTGGCGAGGAGATCCTCCCAGAGACCGAGACCGATGCATTTAATCCAAATCAGGCAATACTCGATCAACTTCTTAGTATGGGATTTCCAGAAGTGAGATGCGAAAAAGCGCTTTACGCAACTGGGAATTCGGACCCCGAAGCAGCCATGAATTGGCTATTTGCCCATATGGAAGATCCGGATATTGATCAACCATTTACGGCCAGTCGAGTCGCCGGAGAGTCTGCTAGGGACCAGCAAGACCCGATCAAGGTGGCACAGTTGAGTGAAATGGGCATCGGTGATGCACATGCAAGGAAAGCGCTAGCAGCTACAGATGGGGACGTCAATAGGGCCCTTGACTGGGTATTCAGTCATCCAGACGATTTGGGTGAAGACGATAATCAGAATTCTGAACCTCAACCTGATGCTCGTGAAACACCAGGCTTCAGTACTACACCAGCCAGGTACCAGCTTCAGTCTATAGTTTGTCACAAGGGATCTTCAGTGCATGCTGGGTAAGTATTGCCTCAATATTTGTCTCTGAACTACGTTAACATGCAGTAGTCACTATGTGGCTTTTGTGCGGAAAGCCCTGCCTGGGGAGAACAAACTGTCGTGGGTGATGTATAATGATGAAAAGGTTGTGAATGTTGATGACATACAGGAGATGAAGAAGTTTGCCTATATGTATATATTCTCCCGTGTTTAGGGCATAGAATTTATACTTTAGGGTTTGGCTGTTAGTCTCAACTTCTCTTTCCACATTGAAAGTTTGCGTTCCCGGCTCAGCAGACAGTTAGTTGTTCTTATTTTTACTACGGAGTAGCTAGATTAAATGTGTTAACTTTATACTTGATTATACGATTCCTATCTCTACATGATCTATAGATAATCTGCTCTATGACTTGAAAATAAATATTATTTTAGGAAACCATGGACGCTATTTATAATCATGTTTGGGAGGAGGGACCAAAAAAAGAGGGGACAGGGCCTCTGAATCAATAAGAATAACATTGAAAATGCAGTGCAAGTTCCTGATCTGGACTCTGGGGATAGCTATATATTCTTGTTAGTTATTATATGTAATTATATTAGCCCTTGAATTAGGTATTATGTAATTCCGTTGGATTTGTTCTGAATTTATTCTTCGGTTTAAAAATAGCTACCGAGCTTGTGATGAATATTTTTAAAAATATGTCCATTCGGCTGATATACCCATTGAGGTGTCAGGATTGTGCTTTAATATAGCCTTACAGGCTTGGCTGAAAGAATTGATTAGATGATCTTTGTAGGGCTAAAATATTATACTATCTCTATAAAGAATAAAGTAGTACCAGCCTATCAGGTTTATTTATGTATAATTGCTATAATAATTAACTAAAGGTATGAAAACAATAACGTAATCCACCACCGAGCGGCTCCGAATTCTACGAATTATCCGTCGTACCACCCCTTACATCCATTTATCACCATCTACATTATGGATGGCACTTCTCAAGAATGTCGAATTAAAATGGCTATTAATGCTTTTAAAAAAAGCCAATTTAAAACCAAAAAAAGCAACTTCTTTGGCCTTTGATATCCCTCAAACAACCTATGACGCTAGTCAGGGGGAATAGCTTCACGCTCTGATAAAGTCGCCAATTGCTGGAAATCATCCAATACTGAGGAATCTACCCTATCAGCATGGATTCTAGATATGGCTAAACATGGCCTATCTCTGCAAGTAGCCTCTGTTCACTCTCTTGCCCAGCTTTTACTCTCAGAATGCCTGCCAGGCTCTATTGTCGGAGAGAACTGGGTTAATCATTTTTATACAGTGCCATAAAGAATTGAGACCAAAATATACCTGGAAATATGATTATCAATGTGCTAAATGCGAGAATCCACATCTTATTAAAAACTGGTTTATATTGGTTAGGGGGACCATTGAAAAATATGGCATACTAGAGGGAGATATCTACAATATGGATGAAACTGGCTTTCAAATTAGTGTTGCATCAACTGCTAAAGTTGTCTGTGGTGCTGAGACAAGACAGAGCCATGCATGCTCTTTAAGAGCCTTACAGCCAGGAAATAGAGAATGGGTGACTGCAGTTGTCTGTATAAATGCAACTGGATGGGTTCTTCCCCCACAGATTATCCCACTATATATGCCTCCACATTCATCTCATCTTCTTCAGCCACTAGATGTCTCATGTTCTGTGCCATTAAAACATCTATGGCCAGGGAATGCAGGAGAAAATGCAGTATGGAATCCATTCAACTGGAAAGAAGGACTTTCTTCAAATCTATCCAGCAGTCCATCAACAAGCTCTATTTACA